CTGATGGTGTAAATTTACTAACACCAAGAATAAAACGATAATAATTATTACAAACTGCATTGCATTTAAAAGTGTCGACCACGTGACGAAATGTAAATTTAAAAAAGAACGGATGGATACCTATGCTTGTTTCCATGCTTATAAATGGTTTGTGATTTTATATATCAGGTGGCTCTTATTACCGAATGTGTTCAAAATTTTGAACTAAAATTGTGTTATTTTGTGAAAGGTGAAACTATTTAAAACTATTTAACTTCGGCACTCAAAAGGTTAAAGGTCAAAGGAATATGCTGGTAAAATATTCACTAGAATCACCGTAATCATAGACAATTCAACAATCGTTTAAATCCTCTGTGTTTAACTATTACAGAAAAAAGACTCTCGGCCGAAGAATTGACCGCTCGCGTGTCGCCGTACTTTGTTGGTAGTGCACATTCCCCTATATTTGTTGAAGATGATCACGTGCCATTCCTGGAAAAAGGTAAACAATTTTAATACATCTAATTCTGGCAGCGTTCTTTATCCTAGCTTGAGAAATCGGAGAAACTGACATCATGATGTGACTTCGGTTTAGGGTGCTTACAAATTTTAAACTTGAAGTTTCTGCGAGTTTCTATCATGGAGGAACTCTTCTTGCCCGGATTTCTCCAACACGTGTCGGGGGGGGGGGGGATATTCTCGTCTGGTCTCTATACACGTCTGCTTGAGGTACCGGACCGGGAAAGTCACTTAAACTTTACAGTCAAATAGACGCACACAACGGAATACGTTTCAATAGCTAGTCTTTAGCCACATCGAGAACGCCTCGAGGCAAACTGCCATGCCTCGTCGGAGACTCTGCCCAGGACTGACCAAGACTCTCTCGCCTCGTGGAGCTCTCTCTGGGACCAAGGACTTAGACCGTTTATTACGTATCAGAACTTAACCAATTACAAAGAAGTTTAAACACTGTAAGGCGTAACTTTCACACATTCAATTTGCACATAACCAATCACACTAAGTACTGGACACGTCATATCTTTTGATTAATCGTTCACTACATTAATAACTTCGAATACCAACTGTCAGAAATAGCGGCCCGAATGGCGACGGTTATATCGTAATTAGTTTCAAATCACTGATTCAAGTTCCGTCCAGGACCTCGCATGAGCCTAAATGATGACAGATATAACACAGCCATTTACTAATAACCAGCTAAATAAGTCGGTCAACAGATACGCGAAAACTAATTCATGACATTTCTGTCAGGTGCAGGCTAGTCCAATATTTCGGAATGAGTTGCCATAGTAACTGATTTTATTATTTCCCATGGTGAGCAAAGTAATCAGTAGGAGATGTTCTGCGTATAATACAAATAGAAATTACAAATTATAATATAATATAATATAATATAATATAATATAATATAATACAATCGGGTGAACGCGGTGCTTTTCAGCGCTCCCCGATTTTCTGCCTGTTTTGCGTTTTTGCGCTCGTTGTGCGCCCGTGTTTCTACACAGCTGTATATATAGTGTGTCTACCTTTTAC